GACTGTGTTTTGAGGCAAACCAATATCCCGCAAACAGCTGTGAAGTGAGCGAGCGATTGTATCTGTGGGATTGCCGGCCGGGACATTGTGAGAGAGAAACTCCCTTCTCTTTTCCCGACAGCGTCGCGGGATCTTTAACCTCCGCCTGAACAGAGCACAGACGGGGAGTGAGGTTTAACGTCTCATCCGAAGGACGACGTCTCCGACAATGCAGCACTCGGCCCATCACTGAGATGGGAGAGTCGGTCTGGAATGTTACAAACACACACACACTCACACACTCACACTCACACTCACTCACACACACTCACTCAGGGTTACTCGGTAGTGGATGAACGTGACCCACCTCCGCAACATTGCCTCACCCCTCAGGCCACTGAAACCCTCACACACACACTTATTCCAGCGAGGCTCGACTGCACCAACCCCGACCTGTCAGCTTTCCCAACAGTGCAGTCCTGTAGCTCAGGGGTTCGAGCCCTCTCCTCGCGAGCGAGAGGACCCGGGTTTGATTCCCGGGCGGGGGGGTAAGCCTTGGGCGGGTTCCCTCACTCCACTCGCCTCTGTTTACCGGCAGTGAGTAGGAACCCGGCTGTGAGTCGATTGGTGGATCGCTTTTCCGGGGGTAATGATCCCTTCAAAAACATTTTTTTTCAAATCAGTCATTCAATTCGTGACTGTTTGTGGTGACGCTGCTGTGCACAATTGGCTGCCGTATTTCACCCACAAAATATAGTCACTGCACTTTACAGCATATCCTGTGAAGCACTTTAAGACGTCTCGAGGACGTAATAAGGCGCTTTATCATTATGCAATTATTATTATATGACTCCTCCCTCCCCAACTGCAGATCATCCAGAACTCTGCAGCCCGTGTCCTCTCCCCCACCGGCTCCGTGACCCCATCACCCCCATCCTCGCCCCCACCGGGCTCCGTGACCCTATCACCCCCATCCTCGCCCCACCGGGCTCCGTGACCCTATCACCCCCATCCTCACCCCCACCGGGCTCCGTGACCCTATCACCCCCATCCTCGCCCCCACTGGGCTCCGTGACCCTATCACCCCCATCCTCGCCCCCACCGGGCTCCGTGACCCTATCACCCCCATCCTCGCCCCCACGGGCTCCGTGACCCTATCACCCCCATCCTCACCCCCACCGGGCTCCGTGACCCTATCACCCCCATCCTCGCCCGACCCCACTGGCTTCCCATCACACAGGGGATACAGTTCAAGATCCTGGTCCTCACCTTCAAAGCCCTCCATGGTCTCACTCCCCCGACCTCTCCGCCTCCTAACCCCCTCCCATCCTGCCCGCTCCCTCCGCTCAGTGGGCTCCAGGCTGCTTCACGTCCCCCCCCTCGCTCGCCTCACTATTGGCGGGTGGGCCTTCTGCCCCTCTGCCCCACCCTCTGGAACTCCATCCCAATCCCTCCGCCTCACCCCCTCCTTTGCTCCTTCAAGACCCATCTCAAGACCCTCTTCTTCGACCGTGGTTCGATCCCTGCCCCCCCCCCCCCCTGCCCTCCCCCCTCCCCGACCCTGACCCCCAGTCTGTCCGAAACTCTGCTGTCAGCGCCTTGGGACGTCCTCCGACGTGAAAGGTGCTTCACGCGTGTAATTTTGTTGTTGTTGTTGTTGTTGTAGGTCTCTCTCTGTCAGTGTATGTGTCTCTGTGTATATATGTGTGAGAGTCTGTCTGAATATGAGCGTCTTTGTGTGTGTGTGTATGGTTGGTGTGTGCGTGCAGTTGGTGTGTGTATGGTTGGTGTGTGCGTGCAGTTGGTGTGTGTATGGTTGGTGTGTGCGTGCAGTTGGTGTGTGTATGGTTGGTGTGTGTGTGTTGGTATGTGTGTGTGTTGGTGTGTATCCTTGCGTGTTGGTTTGTGTGTGTGTGTGTGTGTTGGTGTCTGTGTGTGTGTGTTGGTGTCTGTGTGTGTGTGTTGGTGTGTGTGTGTGGTGTGTGTGTGGTGTGTGTGTGTGTTGGTGTGGTGTGTTGTTGTGTGTGTGTGTGTTGGTGTGTGTGTGTGTGTGTTGGTGTGTGTGTTGGTGTGTGTGTGTGTGTGTCTGTGTGTGTCTGTGTGTGTGTTGGTGTGTGTGTGTGTTGGTGTCTGTGTGTGTATTGGTGTGTGTGTGTATTGGTGTGTGTTGGTGTGTGTGTGTTGGTGTCTGTGTGTGTGTGTATTGGTGTGTGTGTGTGTTGGTGTGTGTGTGTTGGTGTCTGTGTGTGTGTTGGTGTGTGTGTTGGTGTCTGTGTGTGTGTTGGTGTGTGTGTGTTGGTGTCTGTGTGTGTGTGTGTTGGTGTCTGTGTGTGTGTTGGTGTGTGTGTGTGTTGGTGTGTGTGCGTGTTGGTGTGTGTGTGTGTGTTGGTGTCTGTGTGTGTGTGTGTTGGTGTCTGTGTGTGTGTTGGTGTGTGTGTGTGTTGGTGTCTGTGGGTGTGTTGGTGTGTGTGTGTGTTGGTGTGTGTGTGTGTGTGTGTTGGTGTCTGTGTGTGTGTGTGTGTTGGTGTGTGTGTGTGTGTGTTGGTGTCTGTGTGTGTGTGTGTGTTGGTGTGTGTGTGTGTGTTGGTGTGTGTGTGTGTGTGTTGGTGTGTGTGTGTGTGTGTGTGTGTGTTGGTGTGTGTGTGTGTGTGTGTTGGTGTCTGTGTGTGTGTGTGTGTGTTGGTGTGTGTGTATGTAACACAGATTGTGAGCACGGTTCCCTGGTCGGTTGTGCCACACGCTGCCCCCCTCCCTGTGTGCGCAATCTCCGCCAGTCTCTCCCGTCACCCTCTGCCCTGATGATCCTGACTCTGGGACCGGTGGGAATGGCGTCTTCCTGTTGATCAGCCCCTCGCCTTCCCCAGCCTCCCCTCAGGTCTGCTCTCAGCTTCCCTGCTCCGTCACACAGCCCCACTCCTCCAGCCTCTGCCCGCGAGTAAAGCCTCCGGTGGCCGGGGTGAGAGGGCAGACCCCTCCTGCCCTGGCAGTGCCCGCGACGTCTCTGCTATAAGTAAAAGACGGATCCTACCCTCTCCGCAGCCGTGGCCCCGGCCTCTTCTTGCCGCTCCGAGCCCTCACTCTCGCTCCGAGCCCTCACTCTCGCTCCGAGCCCTCACTCTCGCTCCGAGCCCTCACTCTCGCTCCGAGCCCTCACTCTCGCTCCCACACACAGCAACGTATTAAACATTAAAATCAACTTTAATCCGTCCCACTGATCCTCAGCAAACACACCAAGACAGGCCAAGCCTGTGCCACCCTGAGCCGCGAGGGTTTGTCTGCGTGTGTATGTGTGTGTGTGTGTGTGTGTATGTGTGTGTGTCTGTGTGTGTATGTGTCTGTGTGTATGTGTGTGTGTGTGTGTGCATCATTGTGTGAGTGTGTCAGTGTACAGGAGAGTACGTGTGTGTGTGTCAGAGTGAATGTGTATGTGTGAAAGAAGGAATGTGTGTGGAAGAATGGGGGTGTGTGTGGGGGATGTGTGTGAGTGTGTGTGTATGGGAGTGGGGTGTGTGTACAAGAGGGAGAGTGTGAGAGAGTGTGGTGGCGCTGAGTGCAGGTGGGAGCGTAGTGACTGTGGGAAGCCACATGATGTCGTGTATCCAGATTCCAAAAGGCGTTTGACAAAGTACCACATGAGAGGCTGATCCACAAACTGTGGTGACTGGTTATCGAGGGCCAGACATGTTCCTGGGTTTAGAATTGGCTGAAAGGAAGGGAACAGAGGGTGTGTGTTCGGGGAGTGAGAAGAGGCGTAGGCCCCAGAGACTGGGCAGAGGAGAGCAGTGAGGCTGATCCCAGGGTTAGAGACAGAGGAGAGCAGTGAGGCTGATCCCAGGGTTAGAGACAGAGGAGAGCAGTGAGGCTGATCCCAGGGTTAGAGACAGAGGAGAGCAGTGAGGCTGATCCCAGGGTTAGAGACAGAGGAGAGCAGTGAGGCTGATCCCAGGGTTAGAGACAGAGGAGAGCAGTGAGGCTGATCCCAGGGTTAGAGACAGAGGAGAGCAGTGAGGCTGATCCCAGGGTTAGAGACAGAGGAGAGCAGTGAGGCTGATCCCAGGGTTAGAGACAGAGGAGAGCAGTGAGGCTGATCCCAGGGTTAGAGACAGAGGAGAGCAGTGAGGCTGATCCCAGGGTTAGAGACAGAGGAGAGCAGTGAGGCTGATCCCAGTGTTGTGACCTTGTGAGCCTTATATGTTGAAACGTCTCAATAAACTTCACAGTGAGTTACTATCAAGTGTAGTGACTGTGTATTTTGTAGGCAATAGAGCCATTGTATGTACAACAATGACTCACAAACAGCCGTGAAGTGAGCGAGTGACTGTATCTGGGGATTGTCGGCCCGGACACCGGGAAAGAGAGAGAGAGAAACTCCCTTCTCTTTTCCCGACAGTGTCGCGGCATCTTTAACGACCGCCTGAACGGGGCACAGACGTAGAGTGAGGTTTAACGTCTCATCTGAAGGCACGGGAACCCTGATCGAACCCGACACCCCCACCCTCACGGACGGGAGAGAGAGAAAAAGATGGAGAGGGAGAGAGATGCAGCAAGAGCCGGGATACAGAGAGACAGGAGAAAGAGAGAGAGAGAGAGATGGTAGGGAATGAGAGATGGAAAAGAGCGAGAGAGAGAGAGAGAGAGAGAGAGAGAGAGAGATGCAGAGAGAGAGTGTGAGAGAGAGCAGAAAGGATTAAGCTCTAAGCTTATGGAATGAGAGCGAGGATGACAGAAGCATTAAAGATCTCCCACTTGTAACAGTGATAATCCCTCCAGCTGCCAGAGGCCAGGCCGAGTAACAGAGGGACATTAACCCTTCTATCCTTCCATTGCTGGCAGAGGCTGAGAGAGACGCCATCCTTTAGGATGAGGCGTTAAACCTCCCGTCTGTGCCCTGTTCAGGCGGACGTTAAAGATCCTGAGGCGCTGTCGGGAAAAGAGGAGGGAGTTTCTCTCTCTCTCTCTCTCTCTCTCGCTCGGTGTCCTGACTGACAATCCCCCGAATGAAATTGGTCACTTCAATCCACGGCTGTTTGTGGGGACGTTGCTGTGCGCAATCGGCTCCCGCATTTCGCCCACAAAATGCACAGTCACTACATTTTACAGTGCATCCTGTGAAGCGCTTTGAGGTGTCAACGATGCAACAAGGAGCGATATCAATTGCAAGGATCATTATTATAATCTCACCATCAGGGTCAGGACGGTAATGCGACGAGACCTTATACAAGCTGCTCCCGGGAGGGGAGGGGAATTCTGAGTGAATTTGTGACGCAGCGAGAGCCAGAGCTCAGTCAAAGATATACGGGAGGAGGCCAACTGGTCAAGGCTTTGGTCAGCTCACACTCTAGAGGACAGTGTCCAGCTCTGGTCATCATAACATGAGAGCTGCTCATGTCCTAGAGACAGTGCAGAGGAGAGTGGATAGACTCTATAGCGGGTTACACTCCAGCAGTTACCCCAACGCACACTCTGGGGCCCCCCCAAGTCTTGGCTCTCGCCAACCTGCGCCTAATACTCTCCGGAATTAGGTAAACGGGGTACATCCCTCCAGGGAAGGGGAGAGAGAGAGAGAGAGAGAGAGAGAGAGAGAGCGCATTCTATGTCAGACACAGGGAGATTCCCATGTGTAGGTGCAGACATACATGGCTGATCACAGCGAAGGGTTTCCGCATGTGTCAGACACCGTATGACCATAGACACACGACTGCCAGATGGTAGAGTGGCGCCACTTACTGCAACATGTGGTAAGTGCACGTCCGGCACCAATTGAACGACAGAATTCAACCAGGACCCCCCCCTCCCGTTAGTTAGGGCTTTGGCTGTGGGGTTACCAGGAGCTGAGGGGGAGGATTCCCGGCCCCCAGTGACTGGTCGGCCCTTCCAGGTCCTGCTGATGAGCCGGGCCGGGCTGTGCTGCCATCAGCAGTGAGTGCCCCGGGACACTGCGGCCCCTCCTGGTCAGGACCCGGAGCCAGAATGAGAGGGAAGAGAGCAAGTGAGACAGTGAGAGAAAGAGGGTCAGAGAGAAAGAGAGAGACAACAACAACTTGTATTTATACAGGTTCCTTCGCTTGTGGCAGCGACTTGGAGCACTTAACAGTGGCTGACTCTGAGCCGGGGGGTGACTGTAAGCACGGTCGAAGAGGAAGGTCTTCAGGTGTGAGAGGGGACAAGGCGGAGGGATTGAGGGAGAGAGCTCCAGAGTTTCGGGGAGTCATGGCTGAGAGTAAGGCGGCTAATGGTGGACAGGAGGGGAGTGAGAGACAAGCAGGAGGTCAGAGCCAACCGTGTGGGAGAGGTAGGGAGGTGCCGGGGGTGAAGGGGTTTGTAGACGAGTGAGGGTGTTGAAATCAATCCGTTCTGCAACGAGGAGTCAGTGGAGCCTGGTGACGACTGGGGTGTTGGGGAACAGAGTGTGGGGCAGGTGAGGATATGGGCAGTGGGAGAGAGACAGATAGAGAGACAGTGAGAGAGAGAGAGAGAGTAAGAGAGTGAGACAGAGAAAAAAAGAGAGAGACAGGGACCGAGAGAGAAGGAGAGTTTCAGGAGAGTTTCTCCTCTGTCGGTGCCTGTGACATGAGGGGAATGTGGACAACTAGGAGTGAACGCACAGCTCCTCAGCCCATCACCAGCTCACAGTCCAGGCTGAGGCTCCAGCCCAGCACTGGGGGGGGGAGAGAGAGAGAGACCATTGTCAGAGACGTCGTCCTTCAGATGAGACGTTAAACCTCACTCCCCGTCTATGCCCTGTTCAGGCGGACGTTAAAATATCCCGAGAAGCTGACCTCGTGGCTGACCGACCATTCCCCAGATAAAATCACTCGTTCACTGCTTGTGGGGACGTCGCTGTGAGCAAATCGGCTGCTGTGTTCACCCACAGAACACACAGTCACTACACTTTAGAGTCTACCCTGTGAAATGCTTTGAGACATTCTCCCCCGCCCCAGCCCAAATGATGAGGCAGGCGCTGTATGAAATCTACAGCGCAGAAGGAGGCCATTCAGCCCATCAAGCCTGCATCCATCGGCTCACAGAGCAAGGCTACGGCGTCAATCTCACCACCCACTTTATCCACACAAATACGCAGTCAAGTCACTTTACGGTAACAATCCTTGTGTTTTTGATACGGCGTCTTATCGCGTCTTCGAGACGTCTCAAAGCGCTTCACAGGATCCACTGTAAAGTGTAGTGACTGTGCATTTTGAGGGTGAAACGCGGCAGCCAATTGCGCGCAGCAGCGTCCCCACAAACAGCCGTGGATTGAGTGTCCAAATTATTATTATAATTATTATTACTGTATATCCTGCGAAGCGCATTGAGACGTCTCGAAGGTGTGATAAGGCTCTGTATCAAATCCCAGGACTATTATTATATTATTATTGATCCCCAGACCCAGATGTCAGCAATTTGTGGGGATTTTAGCCTAAAAAGCTGCACTGTGCTGAGACATCAGGAGATGGCAGCAAATCCTCATCAACTCCTTCACCAGCAGCTCCATCTCTGGGGCACGTCAAGCTTCACAAGAGTGGTACTGGGGCAAGCCCCCAACTCCCCCCCAGTAACACCCACTCCCCACTCGTGTGTATGGCTGAGGAGAGACTGCGAGAAAAACAAAGAGAGAGAGAGAGAGAGACGGAGACAGAGACTTAGAGAAAGAGTGTGATGGAGAGAGGCTCAGAGAGAGAGAGAGAGACTACATGAGAGTGAGAGAGGCAGAGAAACCGAGACAGAAAGAGAGATAGAGGCAATGACAGAGACACAGAGAGACAACAACAGCAGCAACGTCTTGCACTTATATAGCGCCCTTCACGTAGGGGCAGAGACCCGGAGCGATTGACAGAGATAAGAGTAAGAGAAAGAATGATAGAGAGAGAATAGGAGACAGAAAGAGAGAGGGAACGAGGGAAAGAGTAAATAAATTAAGCCCTTGTAGCCCATCTGATCTCCACTCAGACTCCCCGCCCGCCCGTCCCCCTTAACATAACGTCCAACTGGTTCTTAAACGAGTTCCCAGGGTCCCAGCCTCGACCCCCTTCCTGTTTACCCCGTTCCCAGCCGTTAATTCCCCTCCGTGTAAAGAAATGCTTCCTGGTGGCTGTCCTGTCCAGTTTAGCAGCTCTATAAGGTCTCGTGTTTCTACGTTCTATCATAAAAGCGCCTTGTCCCGCCGGGAGGGCGTTCTCAAAGCGCTTCACAGGATTCACCGTAAAGTGTAGTGACTGTGTGTTTTGTGGGGTGAAACGCGGCAGCCAACATGCGCAACATCCGTGTCCCCGCAAACAGCCGTGAGGTGAGCGAGTGACTGCGTTTGGGGATTGTCGGCCCGACACCGGGAGAGAGAGAGAGAGAGAGAGAGGAACTCCCTTCTCTTAACGTCCGCCTGAACAGAGCACAGACGGGAGTGAGGTTTAACGTCTCATCTGAAGGACGACGTCTCTGACAGTGGTCTCTCTCTCTCTCCCCCCAGCGCTGGGCTGGAGCCTCAGCCTGGACTGTGAGCTCAGAGACCCCGACATATTGGGGCGGGGGATCGAACCCACGACTTCCTGACTCGAGGGAGGAGAGTGCGAGCGTCTGAGCTCCTTCCCTATCAGTGGCGCGGATTGAGTCTCACGCTGGAATCCCCGTGTCATTAATCCTGGGGGAACATTAAGTGCCGGGGAGGATGGAGAGGCCGAGACAGACAAGAATGTTCCATGTCTGATTGATGAGCCTGACAATGGGTCCGGATCTGGTTTCAGAAACTGCATCCTGTGCCGTCTGTCGTTCGCTCTGTCTGTCTGTGTGTCTGTCTGTGTGTCTGTCTGTCTGAGAGGAAAGACTAAAATACCTGAGCAACGAACCTGCCCTCTGTGGCCCCTCTCCATCACTCCTCACCAGTATCCACTCCCTGTTATCACTTCTGTAACCACACAATTCATAACCAAACAGTCACCGGCAGCCACACCCGGTAACAATTTCGGGTCATCACTGACAACACCCGGTAACCAGACCCAGAAAAGCACCGCAGGACTGTTAATGATACACCAAATAGACAAAAACGTGCACCAGTCGGTGACTGACACACACGGAAACCCGTCACCGTGACCAGCCGGTGTCTGACACACACGGAAAACCCGTCACCGTGACGGCCGGTGTCTGACACACACGGAAACCCGTCACCGTGACCGGCCGGTGTCTGACACACACGGAAACCCGTCACCGTGACCAGCCGGTGTCTGACACACACAAAACCCGTCACCGTGACCGGCCGGTGTCTGACACACACGGACACCCGTCACCGTGACCAGCCGGTGTCTGACACACACGGAAACCCGTCACCGTGACCGGCCGGTGTCTGACACACACGGACACCCGTCACCGTGACCAGCCGGTGTCTGACACACACGGAAACCCGTCACCGTGACCGGCCGGTGTCTGACACACACAGAAACCCGTCACCGTGACCGGCCGGTGTCTGACACACACAGAAACCCGTCACCGTGACCAGCCGGTGTCTGACACACACGGAAACCCGTCACCGTGACCAGCCGGTGTCTGACACACACGGAAACCCGTCACCGTGATCAGCCGGTGTCTGACACACACGGAAACCCGTCACCGTGATCCGCCGGTGTCTGACACACACGGAAACCCGTCACCGTGACCGCCGGTGTCTGACACACACGGAACCCGTCACCGTGACCAGCCGGTGTCTGACACACACGGAAACCCGTCACCGTGACAGCCGGTGTCTGACACACACGGAAACCCGTCACCGTGATCAGCCGTGTCTGACACACACAGAAACCCGTCACCGTGACCAGGCGGGTGTCTGACACACACAAACCGTCACCGTGACCAGGCCGGTGTCTGACACACACGGAAACCCGTCACCGCGACAGCGTTAAGTCTGTCACATACATGGAAACCCGTCGCCGTGATCGTCCAGGTGTCTGACGCACACGGAAACCCGTCACCGTGACCGGCCGGTGTCTGACACACACGGAAACCCGTCACCGTGACCGGCCGGCGGTCAATTAGATTTAAACGATCTTAAATTTCAAGATGTAGGTCGATAAACCTGAGGGTGAGAGAGTTTGCACGTCCTCCTCTTTGACTTGAATCCCCTGGAGTTGCTGAGCCGAGCGAGAGTGAGGAGCTGCCGCGGTGATGAATGAACCTGAATGAACTCCATTAGAATCAGAGATGATTTCCGAGCTCAGGATAAGAGCAGCGCTGCAGTAATTAACTCGCTGCTCCCCACAGCGACATGTTTTATTAAACGGGGAGACTGACTGCCTCCCACACGCTCATGGCGCGATAATTAACAGGCCTTAGGTTTGTCACTCCCTCCCACGTCGGCACAGCGTTCGCAGTGCTTCACAGGATGCACTGTAAGGTGTAGTGACTGTGTGTTTTGCGGGCGGCCAATTCACACCCGGCGACGTCCCCACAAACAGGCCCCAACACCTGTTCAGCGCTTTGAGACGTCCTCCCGACGTGAAAGGCGCTCTATAAATGTCATTTTGTTGTTGTTGTTTTCGTCGTTGTGGTGAAGATGGGATGAGGATGGGCTGATGGTGAGGATGGGGTGAGGATGGGCTGATGGGGAGGATGGGGTGAGGATGGGGTGGAGGGAGGGAGGGAGGGGGTGATGGAGTTGGAGGGAGGGGGTGATGTCCCAGTGATGGAGGCCATACCAGACAATGGGTTACAGTTGTCCATGGAGTTACGTTGTGTCTCGGTGCTGGAGCCCTGGACGGAGATGAAGTCCAGGTGCTGGGCGCTGGAGGGCGAGAGCTCTACCGTGCTGGACTGCGGCCGTTTGATGTCCTCAGGGCTGGATTGGGAGAGGGAGGGGCTGCTGCTACACCCGGCCCAGGGCTGCCGGCCCCCCTCGCAATGCGGCCCACCCATCTCCCGTGTGTTCCTCTCCCCCTGCAGCTCCTCTCCCGTCTTCTCATGGTCTGTAACAGGAGAAGCATCGAGCTTGGGGTCAAGAGAATTATCCGCTCTCGCCACCACGCCCTGACACACACTCGCCCAACACACTTGCTTGGCATAAAGCACTTCACACGATTTACTGTAAAGTGTAGTGACTGTGTTTTGTGGGCGCACAGAAGCCAAGTCCCAGAAACAGCCGTGAGGTGAGCGAGTGACTGTATCTGGGGATTGTCGGCCCGGACACCGGGAGAGAGAGAGAGAGAGAAACTCCCTCCCTTTTCCGTGGGGTCTTTAACGTCCGCTTGAACAGAGCACAGACGGGGAGTGAGGTTTAACGTCTCATCTGAAGGACGGCGTCTCTGACAGTGGTCTCTCTCCCCCCCCCCCCCGGCGCTGGGCTGGAGCCTCAGCCTGGACTGTGAGCTCAGAGACCCCGATGTGTGTGGTGGGGGTGGGGGGGCTCAAACCCACAAACTCTTGGCCCAGGCGAGGGGGTGAATGACTGACACACACAGCTACAGTTCCTTACATACATTATCTGCCGCAATTCACTGCATTCTTAACACTGGAGCATTTCACAACATGCCCGGGGCCGAGCACGCCATTACACACGCGTGTTCCGCGAAGCGACATGTGTAGTTACCGTGTTCCGCCCTACGTCGGAAGGACAGTTTCCGTCTCCGTAACTTGCCAAATCCTCCGTCTGAATCATCACTGGACAGGGATCCTGGGATCATGTTCGTCTGTGATTGAGACTCAAGTACATCAGTCAGAACCTACTGGAGCTCTCTACTCTAACCCCATTCCTCCCGCTCTCTCTGCCCCTATCGTGTCTGTGCTGGTGTAGTGACTGTCTGCCAGCGTGGTCGCATGCATTACTCACATCGCGCAGGTTGAAGGTGATCTCCAGATTGGTCCAGTAATGGTCGGAGAACTCGGGGTACATTTCCAGCACCTCCAGCAAGTCCTCCCGCTGGATCTTGTGGAGATCACAGTAGGTCAGGGCTCGGACATCAGCGTTGGACTTGCCTGGACGGGCGTAAAGGTTGATTGGCTCCCCGAATATGTCGTTCTTACCTGTGGAGAGGGGGGGGGACACCCACAAGGACCATGAGTACAGATCGGATTGTGCAATGGGAAATGCAGCGGGTAATGGTCAGCTTGGACTGTGAGTTCAGAATCTCCAACACGGGGGTTGGAAAAAGAGGGAGAGGGATTGCGGTGGGACCTCCTGACCCCGAAGGCGAGCGAGAGAGAGAGAGAGAGAGAGAGAGAGAGCAGGCGAGTGTGTGAGCCGGGCACGGTCCTCTTACCCAAGATGGCCACCACCACGTCTCCCCTCAGGATCTCGAATCATAAATGTAAGCGCACACACACATCACTGTGACACTGACACACACACACTGTGACACTGACACACACACACTCACACACACTGTGACACTGACACACACACACACTCACACTCACTGTGACACTGACACACACACTCACACTCACTGTGACACTGACACACACACACCACTCACTGTGACACTGACACACACACACACACTGTGACACTGACACACACACCCCTCACTGTGACACTGACACACACACACACACACACTGTGACACTGACACACACACACGCACACACACTGTGACACTGACACACACACACACACTGTGACACTGACACACACACCCCCCTACACACTGACCCCCCCTCGCTGTACCTGGGTGACTTTCTCGGTCACGTTGTGGGTGCGATCCTTCAGTTTGCTGGAGGCGATGATCTCCTCGGGGCCGGGGGCCACTGTGGGGTCCCGGTGAAGCTCCATGAAGTTGAGAGTGATGTGGGGGATTCGGTATTTCATCAGATCCGAGTCCGAGGTGGAGTTCAGGAGGTTGGGGGTCAACCTGAGGTGGTTAACGGCCCCTGGGGAGACAGGCGGTCACACAGCGTCACACAGCACCACCGCGCAGTGGGGGGGGTCACACACACCATGTCAGCCTGGCTCAGAGGGTCTTGCTTCTGAGTCAGGAAGTTATGGGTTCGAGCCCCTCACGCACACACGTCGGGGTCTCTGAGCTCACAGTCCAGGCTGAGGCTCCAGCCCAGCGCCGGGGGGGGGGGGAGAGACCTCGGTTTAACATAGCATCTGAAATAGGTCTTTAATGTCCGCTCGTGGGGGGATGAAGAGGCACGAGTGGGGGGGGAGCAGCGGGGTGGTGTGGGGGGGAAACATCAGAGTGGGGGGGGAGCAGCGGGGTGGTGTGGGGGGGAAACATCAGAGTGGGGGGGGAGCAGCGGGGTGGTGTGGGGGGGAAACATCAGAGTGGGGTGGGGGGGGGAGCTTTTACCTGCGCTGGAGTGGTGGCCACGGAACTTTCTCTCGAAGTCGCCCCTCATGCCCTCGATGTCGTCCAGCGACGAGACTCGGCGAACGCTGTAGAAACTCTCTCGGGATCGCGAGGGGCTCAGGCTGGAGGCCGAGTACGAGACGTCGGGGTTCAGGTGCCCCCCCAGCTGCTGGAGCGAGGAGTGGTCCGCGGGCCGCACCGTCTCGCTGGCCCCCCCCGGCCGTCGCTGGCCTCCTGCCGCCGGGGACAGGAGCTTCTCCATGGCCAACGACTCGCAACTGCACTGCTCCCCGCCCGCCTCCGCAATGTCCCGCCGCAGGGAGAGAGAGAGGGACAGCTTACTGCCTCCCCCAGCCAACAGCGCTGGTACTCGCACCCCTAAACCTCGCCCCCCTGGGAGACAGAGAGAGAGAGGGGGGGGGGGGGAGAGAGTGAGTATGAGATAACTATAGCGTAACAACTATACAGCGTCTCTCAGGCCGACTAGCCACTCGATCAACAACAACAACTTGGATGTATATAGTGCCCTCCACGCCAGACGGCGTCTCAGAGCTTCACAGTAACGGATCCGGGGGCTGAGCCAGGGGGAGGGGGGGAGCCAGGGGGAGGGGGGGAGGTGGGTAGGGAGGGGGAGAGGGAGGAAGGTGACCAAAGGTGCGGTCGAAAAGAAAGCTCTTTAGCCGAGACCTGAAAATGGGAAGGGAAGGAGCGAGGTGAAGGGAGTGAGGGAGGGAGTTCCAGAGCCTCGGGGCATTGTGGCTGAAGGCACGGCCGCCGAGGGTGGAGCGGAGGACTCGGGGGACGAGGAGGAGGCCAGACCCGGAGGAACGAAGGCAACGGGTACTGTGCTGAGGAAAGAGGAGGTCAGAGAGGTCGGGGGGTGCAGAGGAGCGCAGGGACTTGAATACGAGGGCGAGGATCTTGAAGTCGATCCTCTCTGGGACAGGAGTCAGTGCAGTCTGACCAGGACTGGGGGGAGCGGGGAGAGGGGTTTGGTGTGGGTGAGAATGCGGGCGGCAGAGGTTTGAATGATCTGCGTTCTATGGATGGTAGTGGATGGGAGACTGGCGAGGAGGGCGTTGGAGTAGTCCAGCCGAGAGGTGACAAAGGTATGGACCAGGGTTTCAGCGGCTTTTGGGGAGAGTTATTAGCGGAGACGGGTGATGCGTCGGAGGTGGAAGAAAGCGGTGCTGGTGAGGGACCGGATGTGGGGGAGGAAGGATAATTGGGGGTGGAACCTGAGGCCGAGGTTGCGTATGGGTTTGGAGAGTTTTAGTGGGAGGTCGGGTGGGTGGAGGAGGTGAGAACTATGAGATGTTAAGACGTTGATGAGAGCCGAAGAGTATGGCTTCTGTCTTGTCAACGTTCAGCTGAAGGAAGTTTGCACTCATCCAGTCCCTGAGGTCTGACAGGCAGAACATCAGGGAACTGGGGGTTGCAAAGAGAGGTGGAAAAGTAGAGTTGGGTGTCATCTGTATACATGTGGAAATGTACCCCATGTCGGCAGATGACATCCCCAAGAGAGAGCATATAGATCAGAAAGAGGAGGGGCCAAGGATGGATCCTTGGGGTACCCGCAGGTCACCAGGTGAGAGCGGGAGGAGAAGCCGTTTGTGCAGATGTACTGCTGGCGGTTTGTGAGGTAGGACTCGAACCGGGCGAGTGCGGTCCCACTGAGGTGGATGACGGAGGAAAGGGGGTGGAGGAGGATGACGTGATCGACTGTGTTGAACACCGCGGAGAGGTTCAGGAGGACAAGGAGGCAGAGGGAGCCCTGGTCACAGATAGAGAGGATGGTGTTTGTGACTTTCACAAGTGCAGTCTCTGTACTGTGGGCGGAAACCGGACTGGAGGGGTTCGAAGAGGGAGTGGGAGGAGAGGTGTGCGCGGAGTTGGTTGGCCACAACCCGTTCTAGGATTTTTGAGAGGGAGGGCAGGTTAGAAATAGGGAGGTAATGGCTGGAGTTTGGGGATCTAGGGAGGGATTTTTGAGGAGGGGGATGATGACAGCAGTTTTGAGGGGGGCAGTGACTGATCCGGAGGAGAGGGACTGGTTGATGACGTCAGCCAGTAGTGGGCAGAGGAGGGGGAGCTGGGTGACGAGCAACTTGGTGGGGAGGGGGTCGAGGCAGCAGGTGGTGGGTTTCATGGAGGTGATGGTGGGTGAGAGAGAGGAGGGAGAGATGGGGAGGAAGGAATGTAGGATGGGGGTGGTGGTAGAAGCAGATGATGGGGAGGGTGAGGGGGGCAGAGAGGGCGTGGTGGTGGGTGACAAGAGTCAGGAGGATGAGGCTGTCTGGCGGATGTTGTGAATTTCAGATGAAAAGAAGTCCATGACCTCCTCGCAATTGGCATTTGATATGAAGATTGAGGCGGCCTGAGGGGGGGCACGGAGGAGAAAAAAGGATTTTAGAGGTGTGTTTAGCCTCCAAGATGATGTTGGAGTACAAGTCGTTTTTCGCGTGTCAAAGAACGGCAGTGGCTGTGGAGATGCTCGAGCCACAGTTGGCGGTGACTGTCAGGCCAGTTTTCTGCCATCTGCGCTCGAGCAGCCGGGTTTGGGTTTTTAGGCGGCGGAGATGGTTGTTGTACCGGGGTATCGGGTGGGTTTGGAGATGGTCCTGGGTTTCAGGGGGACGAGGGAGTTGAAGGTGGAGGAGAGGCGATCATGGAGAAGCTGGACGGCTGGGGGGATAGGATGTTTGATGATGCAAGGCCTTTGATCGCTTACTATTGACGAGCCTGATGCTGAGTCGGGGGGAGAGGGAGGTGACTGTGGACACGGTCGAAGAGGAAGGTCTTTAGGTGTAACCTGAAGATGGACAGAGAGGAGGCAACGCAGAGAGATTGAGGGAGAAAGGTCCAGATATTCGGGGCGTAGTGGCTGAAAGCGCGGCTGCCGAGGGTGGAGCGGAGGGGACAGTGAGGGCATTTATAGACGAGGGAGAGGATCTTGAAATCAATCAGATTGGTGTTAGGGAGTCAGGGGGGGCCTGGCGAGGGCTGGGGGATGGGGGAACGGGGTTTAGTGTGTTTGATGGGAGCCAGTGGGGCTGGCGAGGGCTGGGGGGATGGGGGGACGGGGTTTAGTGTGTGTGATGGGGAGCCAGTGGGGGCTGGCGAGGGCTGGGGGGATGGGGGACGGGGTTTAGTGGGGGTGATGGGGAGCCAGTGGGGCTGGCGAGGGCTGGGGGGATGGGGGGACGGGTTTAGTGTGTGTGATGGGGAGCCAGTGGGGCTGGCGAGGGCTGGGGGATGGGGAGACGGGGTTTAGTGTGTGTGATGGGGAGCCAGTGGGGGCTGGCGAGGGCTGGGGGCTGGGGGACGGGGTTTAGTGTGGGTGATGGGGAGCCAGTGGGGCGGGCGAGGGCTGGGGGGATGGGGGACGGGGTTTAGTGTGTGTGATGGGGAGCCAGTGGGGGCGGCGAGGGCTGGGGGATGGGGGGACGGGGTTTAGTGTGTGTGATGGGGAGCCAGTGGGGGCTGGCGAGGGCTGGGGGGATGGGGGGACGGGGTTTAGTGTGGGTGCCCGTAGGGATAGCAGAGTTTTGAATGAACTGGATTTTGTGGATATTGGAGCTGTAGGAGGGGGTTGGGGGGTGAGGAGGGCGTTGGGGGGTAATCGAGGCGGGAGGTGACGAACGCATGGACGAGGTTGAGAAAGTGAGTGTCTGAGAGAGACAGTTAGAGACTCTCCCACCCAATTAGACCAAGAGCCAACCACTGAGATGGTTCAGTAAACACCAACCTCTGTCCCGTCCCCTCCCTCCTTCCTGGAGTCCCTTCGTGGGGGGTGAGGGGGGGGGTAGCTGGGGGGAGCCACTTGGGGTGAGGTGGGGGGGGGTAGCTGGGCGGAGCCATGCGATGGGGGGGGGGTGTGCTGGACGTACCTGGAGCGAACCATGCGGAGGGCAGACTGTGATTGGCCTCTTTGTTGAGCGAGTCCAGCAGTGATTTCTCGGAGACGGGCTCAAAGTTCATGATGAACATGATGACCGTCCCATCCTCGCTCTTCACTGGGACAATGTCAACAAGGCAGAGAAAACAGGAGCCTGTGAGAGAGAGAGAGAGAGAGAGAGATTGAGAGAGAGGGAGAGAGAGAGAGAAGCATCTCGTCTGGGCTGTAATCAGCAGTGAGTGCCCTGGAGTACTGTGGACCTATCTGGATCAGGAACCGGACTAGAGACTGGCACAGAGGGTGGGCTGGATTCTGCTGCCAGGCATGGACAGTGTAGAGGAGCTTTACTGTGTC